AAAACCTATGGTGTGTAATTGTACTCTGACCCACGTGGGGTCACCATGAGTCAGGAACTACTCGAAGGCAACTGATGTGGCGGAATGATGTACCCACAGCAGATGCGTGGCTTTACAATGTACATGGGCTTTCATGCCAAGATATATAGATAACTAAGGGCTATAAGGGCTATAAAGTGGCAATTGAGACAAGCACAAAGGTTACAAAAAGCTGTTTGAGCATGAGAAAATTAAAGAGAAAAAATGTGCTGACTCCAGGAAAATAATAAGAGAAATAAGGTAAGTCAAGGCCCTTTATTTGTGGAGTCAGGGGTAAAGGTTAAGAGTTTTGCCCTATGTAAATATTGTTCTTTAGCTTTGGTTGAATCAGTGTCATGTTACCCAATAAACAAGGGAAGCATGAGCTTACTTGTGTTTACTAATTTATAGTGAAGAATTTCACATGGGTTTCACCACATTTTTGTTATGTAGCATGACGCAGGCTAATGTGTTTAAAGCACTTACTTGGAACAACAAAATCTTGGCACATATAGTAGCAGACAGAAGGTGTTAAGCAAGGATAGCCTAAGAATGAGAATGCTTTATAAATTGCACTCCCATAAAATGTAAATTTTATGTAAATGTAAATTTTATATAAACATTAAATTGCACTTCTATAAACCTTGAGGTTTCAGAAGCGTTGCTGACTTTATAATTTTTTTCATTTGCTTGTTCTTTATCACTTTGCTAACTAAATGGGTGGTATGCTTTCTATTCATCCATTAAGAACACTGAACAAACAAATGCCTTTCATACTTGCCTCCCAGGAAAACATCAATGGTATAATCTATTTTTCAAGTAATACTTTTTTTCACGAATGACTCTTCTAGAACAGACTCACTCCAGGATAAGAGTGCAAGCTAGCTGACCCAGGGCTATCTCATCTGTGAGTTAATAGAACTGTTGAACATTTGTCAGTGAGGATATTAGCTGCGTGACTTGCCTTGAATTTCACTTTTCTAAATTCTTTTTAAAATTTAATTTTTGCCTTTTGGCATTCTTTCTTTACAATTTTGAGAGGTTACTTAGAAATAAATAGAGACTAACTTCATCTAACACTCATAGATTAAAATCACTCATTAACTTCAGAAACGGTATTAGTGAATTTCAAACTAATCACTGCTTTACATGAAAATTTCATCTTCTGGACAAGAAATATGTGATATGTGTTGCTTATGTAGACAACATTTTCACTTCTGTAACTTAGTCTTAAACTTAAAATATAAAATTAATATAAAAGACATTCTGCTATATAAAAAGGAGGAACTTAAATAGAAATGAACAATTTGTTTACTTTTACATTGAGCTATTCTTTGCCATTTTCCATTCTTAACTCATTGATTAAAATACATATATTGAAAAAGCTAACCTTGGAAATCTACATAGCAATCAGAAGTGAAAAGTATTTACCATATCTGTGTATACTCAAGTATTATGCATTCATTTTATTTTCTGTACCAAGTATATACGTATAAATTAAATTGTGTTAATAATTGTTACAAAATTATGTTATGGAGAAAACATTCAATGAAAATAGTGCCTACGAATAGGAATTTGTTTTCAGTGAGACAGTGTTTTAAATCAAGTTGTATTCTAGAAGGCCATTTTAGGATCACAATAAGATGAGTATGTATTACTTAAAATATCTGCAATGAAAATATCTCAATCATGATAGAAAAAGACTAATTCATCTGAATGTACCCACACAGCTAGTGTCTAAACTTTAAATGGGTAATGGTGAAAAGAGACATTAAGAAATCTTAGTTAATGAAATATAGGCAAGCCACAGTGACAGTGACAACACATACCTGTCGGCACACGTGATCCCACTGAGCATTGAGTTCTCTGAGCTCTGTCTCAAGCCTGGAAGCAAACTCTGGCTCCGCTTCTTTCTTTATCTTCTGCCCACCTTCATTGACACTGTTTAGGCTGGGCTGGATTGTCTGAATATCATTGACTAAAAGCTAAAGAAAAGATTCAATTTATGCTACCTGAAAAAAATTGTCAGCACATATTAGAAATACCAAATAATTAGAAAACGTATAATTAGGTAGTAAGAATCATGACACAGGTCCTGTTCTTTAAACCAAATCTGTTTAATAACCTTGAGAAAAGGCTCAGAGGGTTTTATGGCATGAAAGTTGTAGCAAATTAACTGTACTCGGCTTGTATCAAAAACAGAAGGAAATGATTTTGCTATTTCTTTTAAAAATGTGTGAAACTGATATTTAGACATTACTATTTTTGAAAAGAGTTGGGTTTTCATTCACAGGATATTACAGAAATGCATGATGTGTGTAGGTGGAGTTGCTCTCTTTAGCATGTATTTGCACAAAAAAATCTGTGAAAAATTAGAATATTTTCTTCCTGCTGCATGACAATGGTATAATAAATATTATTTCCAAAGTCCACATTGTGCTATATCATAACATACCGCATTGTACATGGAGGCAGCAACATAGTGTGAATAAGAAACAGCAATATGGTATAGTTCAAAGGATTTTATACCTTTAACTTAAACAGTTTATGTTAAAATAATCTTGTAATGTGAGGTCTGAGTAAATGCCAATATTTTTCTGGCATTTATTTTACCCAGAGTTGCTCAACCTTGTCATTAATAGTGTTGGGGGCCAGGCCATTCTTTGTTGTGAGAAACTGTTCTGTGAACTACTGTATGTTTAACAACATCTCTATCTTCTAATCACTAGATGTCAGTAGTACACACACCCAATTGGAACAATTTGAAATGTCTCCAGACACTGACAAATGTCTTCTAAGAGGCAAAACCACCCCTTGTTGAATTTCATTAATATAACCAAATATTATTGTCCATAAAAAGTCCTCATGAAAAAAAAAAAAAAAAACAAACACTCACCGCCAACAAATAAAAATCTTACCCTGCATTGTTTGAGTTGTTTTTTAAGAATTTCTGAATCACCAAGGGCAGGCCATTCCTCTTTTAGGAAAACATCAACTTCAGCCATCCACTTCTTCAGAGTTTTTATGTGGTTCTGGAATCAAAGACCCATGGTAAGGCATTATTGGGGTGCTGACTGCTCCTAATACAATTCATCATGGTGATACGCCTGAACACAAGCCTAAAAATATTCTCATGTTTGATGGATGTCTCTAAGTAGCTCTTCAGGAAAAAAAATATATTTTTACTAAGACTGTACTTTTATGATCTACTGTATGAGCACTGGTGTATGAAGTCTGCTATTGTTAAAAATAAAAAATTACTACCAAATGTGGTTTTATGAGGTTACTCTCAAGAACATTAAATCAAATCTCCCTCTAGAGAAATTTTAAGTTACAAAACAACTCATGATAATCTTAACAATGTACCTTACAGTACATGAAACAAACTATGAACAATAAACTCAATGTAATGGTATCTTTATGGCCTCACTAAAGCCAAACTTCCACATATTGTTTTCTACAGTTGACAGCTTAAATATTCCCTCCAGCTGATAACTTTCAGCCTAAGATTGTGTCATTTCTAAAAGGAAAGCTTTTGGATTTAATTCTTAATTGCCAGACCACTTTGAAGTTATAAAGGTGAAAAATATAATTTATCAGAATTTACAATTAGCCAAATACCTCTCATTATTCTATCCCATATAACTTTTTTCCTATTGCATTTTTTTGAATAGACTTTCCTTTTGAAAATAGTTTTAAAGTTACAGAAACAATTAAGATGATAGTACAAAGAGTTCCCATAAGCTCCGTGCAGTTGCACAGCTTCCTATGGAACATTTTGATCAAAGATTCCATAGAAGAATCCTGATCAAAACAGGGAAAACAAAGAACAGAATTTCAAATTCTCATGGACTTGAGATTTTCTAGAGCCATGGAGCATGGATGAACCCCTGAAACTACCATCCTGAGATTATCTTTAAACTTTAAACGAAAAATATCCCCTGAAGTCTTCTTAAAACCAAGCAATAGTTTAGGTTTACCAGTGGGGTGTGTGGGGAAATCGACCTCGAGGATTATGCTCTTTTAAGAGCTACCTGTATGGGATTAAACTGACAACAGCAACTCTAAAGATTAGATAGGAAACTTAGAGGGCAGTGAGTTTATGTTAATGGTGGAGGAACAACTCAAAAAAGAATGACTGAAATAAATGTCACTAAATTGTACATGAATGTATTGAATTGGTGTATGTTTTGTTGTATATATTCTCCTCAATGACAAAACAAATAAAATTTAAAGAAAAATATAATAGCAGAAGCTGAGTTGGATTGCCTTTCTATTTTACTACTTTTCAAGCGTATTGCTTTAAAACTTCTTTTATTCTCATACAATTCAAGTATACTATATAGATGTGTTATTTTCTTCTTAATTAAATTTCTTTCAAAAATAGGTACATTATGGAAAATTTTCACAGAAATAAAATTAAAAATGGTGTTTTGAAAAGCATTTGAGTAATTCTAAGAACCTCAACACTATCACCACTTTGCTGGTATCTCTCCAACCTAGTTTTTCTCTTTCTTCGCATCATAATTGTCCTAGTTTGTATCTTATTATTGGCTCATTGATAAGAAAATCAGCTCTTTTTTCATATCTGCCTCAGTCTTCCTCAACTTGAATCAATACTCCACGTTAATGACAGTATTGTCTTTCTTCTCTCCTTCTACTTTTTGGGTCATAATGTTTCAAAAGCATATAATCTTATCTTTTCCCCTTTAAAATATCAGTAATGGATCCACATTACCATGATTACTGTTATTATTTTATGAGTATACTCAATTCCATCATCATTAGGTTAAAACACATACTCCAAAACTTGGCATGCAGGACCGCTCATGATCTACTTCTATATGACTCTTTACAAACATATTAATGAATTCCTACACATACCTTCATGTCACCAATATTAATTATGTCCATTTAATCAATATACAGCTCTTTTTAACCAAAACACTGTTTTCTCTCTTATTTAGCTAACTAAATTGAACATGTTCAAGATATGATTCAGATGACTTATGTTTGAAGAATATTTCATTACATGTTTTCCTAGTCTATGTCAACTATCATAACATTTACTACACTGTTTTATTTACTTAAGCTAGTAGGCTGACTAATGCTCCCCATCAAGACAGCCACATTATAATATCAGAACCTATGAATATCTCACTTCATATGGCAAAAAGACTTTTGTAGGTGTGAGTAAGCAAAGGATTTTGAGATGGAGGAGATTATCCTAGAATATCTGTGTGCCTGATGTTATCAAAGATCTTTGTAAGGGGGAGCTAGGAGGGTTCTCATCAGAGAGAGAAAAAGACAGTGAGAGATGGAGAGAGAGATGCTATGAAGATGCTATAAGAGATGCTTGAAGATGCTATGATGCTGGTTTTGAAGACAAAGGAAGAGAACACAAGTCAAGGAATGTATTCAGCCTCTGTTGTTGTTGTTGTTGTTATGTGCCCTTGAGTCGGACCCGACTCATAGAAACCCCTCCTTGGGTTTCCAAGGCAGTATCACTATGGAAGTAGATTGCCCAACCTTCCTTCCAAGGAGTGGCTGGCAGGTTTGAACCGCCCTCCCTCTGGTTAGCAGTCAAGTGCCTTAGGCACTATGCTACGAGAGCCCCTAGTCAGTCTCTAGGAACTAGAAAATGCTAGAAAATAGATCCTCCCATAGAACATCTAAAAGAGATGCAATCTTTTTGACATCTTGATTTTAGTCAAGTGAGAAATGTATTACATTTCTGATCTCAAGAAGAGTAAGATCATGCACTTGTGCTGTTTTTATCCACTAAATTTGTGTTAATTTGCTATAGCAGCAATAGGTAATGAATACCCTTATTTTTCTTTATCAATAGGCTTGATGATGCCAAAGAACATGTAATTGCATTCTCTTTTACCTCAGACTCTATTTTAGTCTATGTATGCATGGATGGATGCACTTATCTGTGTATGTCTGCATGCACATATATGCATATATGTGGAGATAGGTTTATTTTTAAAAGAAAAATTTAGGTCACCTTAGTGATGTGGTTTATAAGTGGCACAGCCAGTTAATAAATATCTAAACTGGGATGTAATTACAGAAGCATTTTATTCCAATGAGTTGCCATTGTGCTTTCAAAGACTCTCCTAGTCTTAAAATTTTTTTCACTGACTGACACATCAAAAGATATTTACCTACGTGTATACTTCATTGTAGCAAATTATAACATAGTCTACTATCTACATATGTTTTATGTGTTATTGAATATTTTTCTTAATTTTTTTCAATATTTCTAGGCTGTATGGTTTGTGAGTTTTTTTCAAATTGTTAAAAATCCCCCCCCCAAAAAAATCCAATATATTGAAAAAGAAAAAAATCCATGTATAAGTGACCCACTCAGTTCAAATCCATGTTGTACAAAGGTCAACTGTATTTGCCTTTAAGTTTTATAATGCATTTTAGGGTGAAAATAAGTAAACAAAAAATGAGTATTAAAAGTAAATTACCTGAATAGGGCTATATAATAGCCTATATGAGCCATGTCCTAATTTACCCTGAGACCAGAAGAACTAGATGGTGCCCCTCTACCCCTGTTGTTGTTGTTGCTGCTGTTATGTGCCGTCGAGTTGGACCCGACTCATAGCGACCCCTCCTTGGGTTTCTGAGGCAGTATCGCTACAGTAGGAGATTGCCCCAGCTTCCTTCCGAGGAGTGGCTGGTGGGTTTGAACCGCCAGGCTTCTGGTTAGCAGTCAAGTGCCTTAGGAACTAGGCTACCAGCTACAGACCTTTATTATCAGGATCAGAATAGATGGACCCTGACAATTCTGGAGAAAAACATGGACCAGGACTCAAATTCAAAATAAGTTAAGATTTACTGGACAGTTGAGACTAGAGGACTCCTGAGACTATCATCACCTAGGATATTCTTGAAACCTGGACCCTAAACCATCTCAAGGTTACCATTTAGTGAAAGAAGAGATTTGCACACTAAATAAACATTACCCATGAGTATGGCACTCCATTAAAAAATAAAACTACATGAGACCAAGAGGTCAAGATTACTCTAAAGCAAAGATGAGAAAATAAGGGTGCAGAAGGGTGCACTGGAAAGAGAACAATCAGAATGCCAGGAAAGAGTATGACCACATATTGTGCAAATGTAACTAATGTCACTGAATAATGTGTATAGAAATTGTCCAATGGAAACCTAATTCTCTGTGTAAACTTTCACCCAAAACAAATGTTATTTAGAAAACCATAAATTACCTGAATTTTTCGGAGTTTATTCATGTGTTCCTCCAGCTTTTGGCAATACTCAACAAGCTGAGAGGAAAGTTTCTTCCAACGGACTTCAATCCCTTCAAATTCTGATTGATATTTCTGACTAATCTCAGAGGGAGCTTTCTTTGATATTTCTTTCACAGTGGTGCTGAGATAGTTTAGGCCACTTTGTTGGTCTTGGAGAGAACTTTGCAAAGCCTGCAAAAGAGAGGGGCGGAAGATATTTATACTAACAGATGAATATAATCATTAATGAATTTCAGTTAATTAAATGGCACTTAAATTAAAAGTAATCTGATTTAGAAATCTAAATAAAGTAGCTGATGGAATATCAGTCATAAAGTATCTAGCAGTAATTTAAATGTTACATTTTATCCTAACAGCAATTTGCACATTATTCAGCCTATTTTATAAACAGTTTAAAATGCATCCAAAACTTACTGAATTAAAGAATGTTTGTTGTTGTCGGGTGCCCCTGAGTTGATTCTGACTCATTGTGACTCTAAAGGGCAGAGTAGAACTGCCTCCAAGGTTTGCAAGGCTGTAAATATTTATAGGAGATTACCAGGACTCTTCTCCTGCAGAGTGGCTGTTGATTTCAAATAGCCAGCTTTCCTTTAGCAGAGCAGTATTAAACCTAATTTTATTGCTAGAGTCCCTGTGTGGTGTTACCTGGAAAGACACTGGCTGCTAAAAGACAGTTTGGAGGTTTGAGTCTATCCAGAGATACCTCAAAAGAAAGCCTTGGTGATCAGCTTCTAAAAAGATAGCCATTGAGAACTCCATGCAGCACAGTTCTACTTTGACACACATGAAGGCTACATGAATCAGGGTCATCAGGAATAACTGTATATTTATATATTTATAATTAATTAAAATATCAATCAATTGTACTGTCGAGACAATTCCGACACATAGCAACTCTATAGGACAGAGTAGAACCGTTCCATTGAGTTAACTTAATCTATAATCTTTTTGGAAATAGATTGCCAATGTTTGTATATTAATAATTGTATTTATGATGCATTTACTGCAGTTAAATCTAATTATAGTGAGTGTTCAAAACCTCTAACTTCCTTGATGTTGTTGTTGTTATGTGCCGTCGAGTCAGACCTGACTCATAGCAACCCCTCCTTGGGTTTCCGAGGCAGTATCACTATGGAAGTAGATTGCCCCATCTTCCTTCCGAGGAGTGGCTGGTGGGTTTGAACCGCCAGCCTTCTAGTTAGCAGTCAAGTGCCTTAGGCACTATGCTACCAGAGCTAACTTCCTTAGGTGGAACAATAACACAACAGTATTTATATTTGGAACAATAAACTTAACTGACTACTTTACAATATGGATGGCCTACTAAAGCTACTAAAAAAAAAGTTTCATATTTTTCAATGGACATTTTTATTTTTCATAAAATTTTACTGTGAAATCCTAAGGTAATTTTGGGAAGAAGTTATAAAGTTTGTTTTACTTTTATCTTACATAATCTATGTAATAATTTCTAAAATTATAACCATGTTTAAGTTTACTAAATATTTATTTAAATGTTATTTTCTGGTTATAAAGTAATGAAGGAGCATGATTTTAAAAACAGAAAAATAACACCCACTATATACAACTATCAAGATTTTATATAACCTTTCAGGTTTATCATATCCATAAGTAAATAATAAATATCTTATACTTTGGTCTACATTATCTCCCCCGAAACATGTCAAACATATAACTTTTATGGTTGCATAACATCCTATTGTCTATTATGTGGTATTGTACTTAATTGTTCTGTATTATGGGATATTTTGACAACGTCTTATCACATAACTTCATTTTGAACTAGATATTTTTTGTGTGCATTTCTCCATGCCAATAATTATTTTTTCCAAAACATATACTTCTAAGGGTTCTCCTTAAGTTTATTTAGCCATTCCCCTCAGGTCCATAAATTAAATTCTACATTTTAATTTCTATAAATTATGTTTATCTATCTACCTTGGATACAGTTTCATTATTTCCATATTCACATACAAAAATGACTAATTGTTTTGGTTAGTAGGCAATACTGAATAATTTTCTCAGCAAAATTACATTCAATTTACATCCCCACCAGTGACAATGTTTTACTCATTGCTTCCAGATCTGCAATATATATTTTGCAATAGGTGAAACATAGAATTTCATTTTGTATGTTCTTTTGTACTAAATCATTTACAATTGGAGTTATTATTTTTTATACACACATTGGCTTATGTCTCTTCCTTGTCACTTCCATACTTTTGATGTTCTCTGTTGAACACAGAGATGTTTTTATTTTCTTTGCCCTCATTTTTGTTTTAACTTTGTCCCTGGCATTTTTAAAGTTTTTCTGATCACTGTCATTGATATTTATGCTTCTTCATCATATACTGTAATGATCTTTCATTATTTCTCAATTTATTTTTATTTTATTTTTGAACTTTCTAATCTATTTGGTATTTTATTACAGTATAACTTTTGAGTCAGTGTTCTAACATTTTTGTTTTTATCATAGTTAATACATTACATTTCCCAAACAATATTTTTAAACTACTTTTTTCCTTTTTTTGGGGGGGGTTGGGGGTGGAACTCATGTACTCAGCAATTTTTATATATTTGTACCATCTTCTAATCTTTTACCTTTATTAA